TAAATATTTACTTATTTACTAAATTTATTTGTGTATATTAATTTTTTATTAAAATACTTTAAAAACTTTAATTTAAGTTAAGATTAAAGTCTTAAACTTCTATACTGTCAAACAATTAATTTTCTAATATATCAAAAAAAATATTATTTTAGTGTTTTTCAATGAAATTTAATAAAATGACCTAGTTTTAAGACACTTTTTTTCTTAATTTTTTGGAGGTTCAATAGATAAATACTTTTCTCTATTTTTATTAATTTTAATTGATATTTTATAGTTTTTAAGATTTTTTTTAAAGAAACTACAATTATAGTCACAATGTACTATAGTACACCCTCCCAAATAATGCCTAACCACATTAGGTATTGAAAAAAAAAAGGATAGAAATTGAAGCTTTGGTCGGTAAGACGAGTACCCAGCACCAATGCATCGCCTTTTGAAGGTTTAATATTTTTTTATAATAAATCAATAAAAAGGAAAAGACAAACAGAAAGAAAATATTTTTAGCCTTTGATAAAAAAAGAAAAGAGGATGACTAACCAAAATTATTAAGAATATAATGTAATATTAAATAAATAGATATTTACAATATTATAGTGAATCTTTTAATAGAAAAAGTTAATTATATAATAATATATCATATTATAAATTTATAATGTGATATGATATTATAATCATAACATTTTGGTTAGAAATTGTTGGATTGAGAAGACAACTCCTTGTAAAGACTAATTATAAATTTAAGATCTCTATCAATTAGGGTTCAATTTTATCAAACAGATAGGATTGAAGTTCTTCTTCTTCTTCTTTTTTGAAAATTTAAAACCATGGTTATGGGGTTTCGATTGCGAGGACAGGATTAAACTTGGTCCTTGAGTTTGGCAAAGTCCAGTGGAGGAGAATCTTGACAAAAAAAAAAGGGGGGAGAAGATGAGAGAGAAAGATTTTGGAACACAAAGAAATAAGAAGTAGATAAAATATAAATCGATTAAAATAACTTGATTTAAATTTTTTAAAAATTAAAATATTAATAACCTACCTTGCCATATCATTGGTCACATGATACTCTTTATTCGTCTTTTGTATCATTGCCTTTCTTTTAATTTTTAAGATGACAGTTGATAAACACTTTCTCTTATTTTTTTAATTGTAATTGATTTTTTTTTTATTTCTTTAAGATAATAAAAAAGCTAAAAGCTTACAATTATGCAGTCATAGTATAGCATAATACAACACTATTAAATAAAACTTAACTATGGTAGGTATTGAAAATTAAAATGTTAGGATGGAAATTAAGGTTTTTTTTTTTTTTCTTTTCTTTTAAAGGCAAAATTGATATATTAAAAATTATAAGAATAAGGACAAAAGTTACTCCAACTCTTACAACATGATTAAATTCCTGTATGTATCTTTTTTAACCCTGCATTACCAACCCTCCTATATAACTTAGAAACATGGCAAAAGTTTTACCATATTTTTTAGTAATTTTCTTTAAAATATTAATTTAATTTAATTTAATTGTTAAAAATAATTAATAACAATAATTATTTATTAATAATTAAGAAAATAATTAATATTTATTAATTAACAAATTGAAATTATTTAAAGAAAAAAGTATATATTCAAGTGACCCTAATATTTTCTTTGGTGGCAATAACCAAATTACTAAGAGCCTGTGGCGGTTGCAAACACCTCCATTAAAGAAATAAACTTTAGTACCTCAAGTTTTCTTCTACACCGAATGATGATCTTACTTGTACCAAATCCAAAAGCTTTTCTTCATCAATTAAAAAGGTAAAACGGGAAGTCCGCTGCACCAGTACACCACCTTTGAAGGTTCAATAGTTTTCATAACAGAACAACCAATTAAAAAACAAAAACAAATAAAAACAAAGTAGCTATAGACTTAGACAAAAACAAAAAGGAAAAAAAAATGACTAGCAGAAATTATTAGGAATGATTAGATTGGAAAAACTGTTTCCATAACTGCTTATTAAAATAACATATAATGGAGACAGCTTTAATAAAGGCCATGTTTATGTTTCCTTCTTTTTCTTCTTTTTCATTTTTTATAAGATAGGTGGAGTCTGTACCCAGAAATGAGGGATTGAGGTGAGGTTACTACTTTCCATTGTTTAGGTTAGTAAAAGATTCATAGTGGTAGGTAGGGATGTTGCTTATGTGATTTGGTTTACTTTTTAATTTGTACTTTTGCATAATATAAATGTATTTTAAATTATAAATTTATATAAAAATATAAAAATTAATATTA